CAGTGGGCATGCCAACCATGCCAGGCATGGTGGTACATGCCTATAATTCTACCTACTTGGGAGACTGAGGCAGGAGGATCACTTGAGTTACAAAATTCAAGGTTACAGTGAGCTATATATATACATATACAGTGTGCTATATATACGTGTGTGTGTGTATGTATATAGGTATACCTATATACGTGTACCACTGCACTCCAGCCTGGGTGAGAGTGGAGACCTTGTCTCTAAAAAAAACTAAGAATATTTAAAGGTTTGTCCATGTTTTACCTAAAATAACTTTGTATACTGCCAGTGGCACTTTGGACTGCTTCGGTGTTGATAAAGCACCTTTATGTTCGTGGTCTTTTTAGATCCTTTTAATGACCCATAAAGATGTGCAGAATCATCCCCATTATACAGATGAGAGAACTGAAGCTTGGAGAAGTGGCATTCCTAAGAATACAAATCACAGGTAGTTAAGCCAAGTCCCAACCCTGGTCTTCTATTCTAAGTTTAGTACTCCTTACATTATACCATTCCCCAACAACAGGACTTTGTAGAAATGGAATGGGGAAGTAAAGAATGAAAAGGGGAGCTTGAGGTCAACTGTCATTTCTGTTATGAGATCTGTGATGTGGCTAGTGCTCCATGATTCTTTGACGTTCACAACAGCTCTGCTTCAGCAATAAGGAACAGAAAAGAATTCACAAAAAGAGGTGTTATCAAGATTAAAGCCTGTGGAAAAATTTAACATCATCTCCAGTTAACCAGCTCTATTTAAAAGTGATCCAGGATCACTGATCCGGGTTCTTCGAATATGTACTATACCTGTCTTTCACAGGTTGGTTTGGCTGCCTGAAAGTTTTATACCTTCTTTTGTCAGACTTAAAGTTTCTTCTGAGATACATGAGGTCCCACTGTGCTGACACCAAATCAAAAACTTAAATAAATTACCAAATGTATAATATGGGCCTTCTGAACAAAATAAGCAAATAAGCAACCAGAGATTCATTCTTGTTAAAAAAAAAAAAAAAAAACTCTTAATCATCCATCACATAATAGTATCTGGCTTTATGAATATGTTTCTATCTGCACTGAACAAACCATAAAACTGTTTATGTAGAAGAGTTATTATAACTAAAAATTTTAAATGAAAGAAGAGTTTTTAATAGTCAAAAAGTGTTGGTAGGGCACAATGGCTCATGCCTTTAATCCCAGCACTTTTGGAGACTAAGGCAAGCAGATTGCTTGAGCCCAGGAGTTTGAGATCAGCTTGGGCAACATAGTGAGACCCCTGTTTCTACAAAAAAAAATTTTTTTTAAATAGCTGAGCATTGTGGCACACACCTGTGGTCCCAGCTACTCAGGAGGCTGAGATAGGAAGATCACTTGAGCCCAGAAGGTTGAGGCTGCAAGATTGTGGCATTGCATTCCAGCCTGGCAAGCAAAGCAAGATCCTGGAATGAATGGAAGGAAGGGAGGGAGGGAGGGAGATAGGGAGGGTAAGAAAGAAAGAAAGAAGAGAAAGAAAGAAAGAAAGAAAGAAAGAAAGAAAGAAAGAAAGAAAGA